GGGGGGAGGGGGGAGGCTGGGAAGGGATGTGAAGGGTAAACAAAGGAGGAGGCTGCAATGCTTGGTAAGAAATGTATGCATTATCCTGTCCATGTAATTGTAACCCCTCTGTACAGTATGTTCACAAATAAAATTAAATTAAATTAAAAAAATCAGATGATATGAAAAAAATCAGATGATATATTATTATTATTAGTGGTGGTGGTATTTGCTATTGTTGTTGTTGTTTTACCTTCTTTCATTTTTTTCTTCAGGATCTGTTTTTTAGTCATTGAGTTAGGATGAAAAATGTTCCAGTGGTTTCCTGCTTCCAGGTAGTGAAACACATAGAACGTTGGGACGATGCTCATTAGCTCTGCCTCAGCACTGCCCCGGGGAAGGTGGGTTAGGATATCGATGCCATCTTGACTCAAAACTGTAGACATAACTTCCCCTATAAGGAGCCCTGAGAAAGAGAAATCAGAGCAGACACAACCACTTCCTATCGACTTCAAACACGATAAAGAGGGAAGAGCAACTGGTTTCACCCCATTTCATCTCAGCAGTTTACCTGCTTCTTAGAAATGGGGTGAAGAAAAGGGGATCTGGTTAGAAGTAGGAATTTAAAAGTAACAAAGAAAAAGACTTAAAAAATATGATGATAGGGAGGGGAAAATGGGAGAAAATGAGGGAGGTAGTGACACTGTTCAAAAAGAAATGTACTCATTATCTGACTTATGTAACTGTAACTCAGCTGTACCTCATCTATACAATAAAAAAATTTAACATCATGATAATATGGTAGACAGATTAGCACATACAGAATATGGCAAATGAGCTGCTATTGAACCTGATGGGTTAGGACATTATGAATCATATCAGACAATCCTTTGGGAATCTTGGGCAAGCCACTGGAGGTAAGAGAATTTCTGGTACGGTTTTGACCATGTGTATCCCTTCCAAAATCCATATGCTGAAACCTAGTCATCAAGCTGGTGATAGCTGGTGATAGAAGGTAGGATACTTTTTTTGTGGTGATTATTAAGGTTTTATCCTCACGAATGCAATAACAAATGTCATAAAAGAGGTAGGAAGGAGCTGTTGACTCTTTTTGAGGATGCAGCAAGAAAACACTTGGGAAGCAGGGAGAAATCCTTGCCAGATGTTTGGAGCTTTTGGATTTCCCAACCTCTAACACCATGAGAAATACATTTTTGATCTTTATAACTGATCCGCCCTCAGGTATTTTATCACAGGAGCATAAGTGGACTGACAGCTCAACAGGGCAGTGTTGTCTCAGAAATGTCTGTAGGTCATAAAGCCTTCTGTGGAATTGGACTGGCCGTGAGTCCCTTAGAAAGTTCTCTATGTCCTGAAGTAATTGTGCCTCATTTTAGAGGAGTCTTTGGGGCCACGGGCAATCCCACTCTCCATTATGGGAGAACTGATCTTTATTTAGGTGGGGTCCACGAAAGAAGATAATTGGAAAAGTGATCACGTGTTAGAAGCTAGGGTACAGAGAGAATGTACTCTCAAGGGCAGAGTTTACATATGCAAGGAAACAGAAAAATAGAAATACAACACTCTTGAGAAGATTTGGCTTTAGACTGAAGGACAAAGTGAAATTAGAAAGAAAAACAGGATCTTTTGCTTTACCTTTTACACTCAAAATCCTTTTGACATTTGTTTTGGGGACCATATCTACTGGGATCTTGTATGGGAACTCCTTTCTTCTGCTAATGACACCTGTAATTTAAAAAAAAATCATGTTTATACAGATTTCTTAGGGTAAAATGACTACATATCATTATGTATCATATATTGTACATGACACCCAAAATTTTTAAAGACGTTGGTATAATAAAACTACTAAGATTTTAAAAGGAAGAAAAACCATCAAGTACATTTATCAAGCCCTTGACATGTATGAGCTCTTTAAAATAACAGATTAAATTTAGCGGTAAGCTCCCTGTAGTAAATAGGTTATGTCAATTTTATCCATCAGGAAGAGGTAACATGCCATTTTTCCAAACAGAGAAAATTGTTCTTGGAATCAAAATCTAAAAATAACTAACATGTAATTTCTTAGACAAGGTAATTTGCACACCAGCTCCATTGGGAAGCATGAACTGAAATTCTTTCCACTTTCTGCTCCTAGTGTTAGACACACTTTTTCTATTATGTACACAATAGCCAAGTTTTAGAATACTGGATACTGGGTCAGATAATTTTTCATTATAATCACTCACTGGTGTATATCATAAAAATGATACTTGGCATTGATAGTGTATCATTTGTTCTAGTAAACGTGTGTATGCGTGTGTGTGTGCATGTATAGGTACTGGGCTTGAACTCAGAGACTTGCACTCTTACTTGGCATTTCTTTTCAGGGCTAGAGCTCTATTACTTGAGCCACACCTCCATTTCTGGTTTTTTGCTGGTTAATTGGGCATAAGAGTCTCTGGAATTTTTCTGCATGGGCTGGCTTTGAACTAGAAAGACAGAGAGACACAGAGACAGGGAGAGAATCTTTGCAAAGTTCTAACTTTGTCTAGAACTGTACTATAGCTGAGCAAAAGCAGGGAGATAGGGAAGCAATAGGCATGAGGAGAATAGGTTGGTTTTTTTGGGGGGGGGTCCAGTTGTGGGCCTGAACTCTGGGCCTGGGCACTGTCCCTCAGCTCTTCAGCTCAAGGCTAGCACTCTACCACTTGAGCCACAGCACCACTTCCGGCTTTTTTCTTTTTTGCTTATGTGGTGCTGAGGAATCAAATCCAGGGCCTCATGCATGCAAGGCAAGTGCTCTACCACTGAGCCACCTTCCCAGCCCAAGGAGAATAGGTTTGCAAAGTGACTGATCAACATTGTTGTATTTTCAAATGATGCAAGTTAAATAATTATGTAATAATACCTTTTTCTTAGATGTTCTTTGGATTGATCATTCTAAAATAAAATACTACAAATCACTGCGATGTATAGAAAAATCACTAATATATCAGGAAGGCAATCAACTGTTACTATTTCAAAGTCCTGAATTTAGAATGAATATCTTTAAATGGAGTAATTATCTTTGTTTGGTGTCAACCATCCATGTAATGGCACTGTGAGTGCTACTGAGAAAGGTAATGAGGTAGGGAGGGAATAGACAATTTTTAATCTACAATTGAACATCTTGAAAAATAGATTACATATATGTTTTAGTCTTACATCATGTTTTAATTTCAAGAGCAAAACCCACGACATATTAATAAAATTATTTTCCTACCATAAATTCCCTTTGGATCCAGAGTAACACCAGCATAACTTTCTTTTTTGATTCCTTCCGGCTAAAGACAAAAAGTACTTAGTTAAGAATATAATTATATCTCTATGACCTAGCTTCCTTGGATTGATTTTTTTTCAATGAAAAAAAATCCCTTTGTTTTTGAAAAGATAAATGATTACAAATGCTTCCATCCATGCCTATCTATAGCAATAATATTTTTCTATGTGACTACTGATCAGAGAAGACAGTAAAATAAATGTAATAGTCAGATCATTCCTCCAAGGACTCTGTATATATTAGCTTATTTAACCTCTAAATATTCCATGAGTAGAAACTATCATTACTTCCATTTGACAGTTACAGATGTGCACACATGTAGAGGTCAGGTAACACATCCAGTGTCACATCCATAGGCAGCATGAAGCCAGGTTTTAAAGCCAACCAGCTCGTTCCAGTCTCTCTAGGACCTATGGCTCAGGAATGTGCCTTGCACCAAATAAATCAATACATGCTGTTGTTGGTGTTGCATTGTTTTGTTTTTATAGTATCTTGCCCAGGCTGGCCTCAAACTTACAACCCTTCTGCCTCTTAGGCTCCTGAATAACTGGGATTACAGGTATTACAGGCTGTATTTAATTCAATACATGTTTAGCTGCAGTGATTTCCAAAGAGAACTCAGATAATGAATGCTTAGGAAGATCCAATCTGTCATCAACCAGTCATGTGGCCTTTGTCAAAAACATCTTTTTAAAGTATTATTTTATCTATCTATCTATCTATCTATCTATCTATCTATCTATCTATCTATCTATCTATCTATCTATCTTTCTATCTATCTTGTTGGTTGTGCAGCCTGAACTCTGGGCCTGAGCGCTGTCCCTCAGCTCTTCAGCTCAAGACTAGTGTCCTACCACTTGAGCCACAGCACCACTTCTGGCTTTTTTTCTGCTTATGGGTGCCTCATGCATGTGAGGCAAGCACTCTACCACTGAGCCAACTTCCCAGCCCTAAAGCCAGTATTATTTTAAATGGACAAAGCATAATTGTATCAGAATGAGCAGGTATATACCTGTAATCTCAGCACTTAAACAGTTGAAGCAGGAGGATCAGGAGTTTGGGAGTAGCATGGGATACATAGAACATCCTTGTCTCAAAAACAAAAACAAAAACAAAAAAAGATCTTCTTCTTGATAACATGAAAATACTCTAAAGGCACGGACCCAATGATATTGAACGAATTATCATTTTCTTCTCTTTTTCATTTTTGCCTGTTTACTCATATATAAAATGGAAGGTTTTCTAGGGTGTAAATTGTTTAAATGTAAGCATTGTAACTTGTGCATTGCTCTGACTCAGTCATTGGCCTAGAATTTGGCCATGTATTTCAAGATACATTGTCTGAATTTGCCTGGGGTGGGTGGGGAGATGGTCCTATTTTCAAATTTTGTGAAAATCTCAGAGTGTGGAGATTATCGGTGAAATTTTTTCCTTCTGTGTTTTTTTTCACTCTTCATATTTTTATAATAAGCAAGTGTTATTTCTCTATTTAAAATTTTTTTTATTTGTTTCCGTTTTTATTTGTTTCACATAGTCCAAGCTAGCTTGGAACTCACTATATAACCCAAAAGAATGATAAGATGCCAATTAACCACCAAAAAGCTGGAAACAAAGGTGTGACTAAAGAAGTACAGCACCAGCCTTGTGTGAAAAAGCTAAGAGAGTGCTCAAGTCCTCGAGTTCAATCCCTAGCATTGTCCCTGAACTCACCCCACCTCCCCAAAAAAGGACACCAAATTTTTCTTACCACCACGCGTAATGTTTTTACTAAAGTTTCTCTTCCAAATGAAGTCTCCAGTGAAAAGTTGAGGTGGTGGAGGCCGATTTCTAGAGGAAGCAGGCTAAAGGTGACCAGATGAGTGGAGGAGCCCTCTACCCTCTGGCGCACACATTTAGAGGGTTTTGTCCCCTGAGGGTCCACATCTGGGCTTCCTGATGTACAGATGCTCTCTGCAGCAGACATCCGGACACAGAACTGAAATGTCCCCAGCAAAAAATCATATCAAAACATGATATCATGGGAGTCAGACAGTTTATGAAAAAAAAAAGTATTTTAAGAAAGTTTACCCCGAATTATGCCTTCCTGAACACAGACCCTCCCCTGGGACTTTAACAGTGTGTAATAACCCCTTAGGTTCGAAGCCTGGCAGAAGCCTGCAGCTCCAGCAGAGAAGGCACCATACATGGTCCATTTCAAATCTTCTAAGTTCAGCTGTGGACAGCACCTCTCCAAATGCCTGTGACTGTCAAGCTTAGTAATGGACACAGGAACTTGAATTTCATATAATTTTCATGTGTCATAAAATCTTCCTGGGCTTTTTGATCCCTTCTCAACCACTTAAAAATGTAAAAATTATCCTTAGCTTTTAAGACACACCCACAACACACACACACACACACACACACACACACACACACACACACACACACACACACACGACATGACAGTCACATTTGGCCTAGGGGCCCAAAACTGCTGACTTGGATCCTGTACATAAAGCACAAGATTTAAAAAGCACAAGATGTAAAAGATTTCATATTGTAGAGAAGTCAGTTTCTCTAATATTCATTTATAATTTGAGAGTGATAACAATCAAAGACTTAATCCTATTGTGTATGTGTATATGTACACATATGTATGTTGGTACTGGGGCTTGAACTCAGGTCCTGAGTGCTTCTCTTAGCTTTTTTTACTCAAAGCTGGAGATCTACCATTTGATCTATACCTCCACTTTCAGCTTTGGGGTGGTTCATTGGTGATAAGTAAGAGTCTTTTCTGACTGGGCTGGCTTTAAACCTCAATCATCAGATATCAGCCTCATGAGTGGCTAGGATTACAGAGCAAATGTACAGGAATAACAACAGCAACAACAGCAGAGGGTCAATGGGGAGAAGGAATGTGACTGGGTCCATGGATGAGCTACTTTAATGGTGACACAGAGCTGTAGCTGTGGGAATAAGAAGGGGACTGGGTTAGAAGGACAGGAAGGAGAGTCTGGTTGGTTGGTAAGAACTGTGAAATCACAGTTATATTATCTTCACTAAGTGAAGATAATATAAGCAGCTAAAATGGAAGAATGGGTTGTTATCACAGAGAGGGGCAGGAACTCAAATGCAGTCAGTGTGAACTTAGCCTCTCTGAACCTCCCATAATTCTTCACATTGCAGGTCACGTGAACACGTGTCCTAACTCTTCCTTTCTTCCTGCTGTGTCAGACTGCATTGCCTGTACTACATTCATCGCGACCATTTGGTTTTTACTGCTGAACTGAATTGAATTTTTATTGTTTTGCATGTGATAGTAACCCCACTGACACCCTTAGAAAGCCAGAGAATGTCTCCCCTTTTCCTTCATTTGTTTAAACAGCATGAATGCCTGCTTACCACCATCCCTGAAGACCTGTAGTTATAAACAGTTCCTTTCAATTGAATCTGTTCCCCTCGTACAACTGAATAGGGTATATTCATTTCTAGGAAGACATCTTTGAACACCTTGGCCTTGAGAGTGTCAGCTACACAGATACCTTAGTCCAAAGGAAAAGCAAGTTAGGAACATTTTAGGGAATTTCTATCCTGCTGTTTTGGTATGGAAGTATGTCACACTGGCTTTTAAGATAAAAGAAAATCAGATCACATTTCCCTCTGGACTGTCATCCCATCCTTTGAATTTTCTGCCCATTGATTTAAAAATAGTTATTGGTATTAGCAGAGTTTGTTTGACCCACAACTATTTAATTCTATTTGAGGCATGAAATACTTATTAGCAAACGTACAAAATAAATAGTCACAATTGGTTCTATTTTAATAGCGTAAAGTTTTGATCATGGAAAATAAGATTCCATGAAAAAAAACAGAATAACAAATACTATTGCCACAAAGGAAAATAAGCCCAAGAGGGATATATTTGTTTTTAAATCTGCTTAGGCCCTCAGTCACTGAGAAAGTAGAAAAAAATAGAGAGTTGGGAGTTCTTTTCTACAGCTAGATAGTTAAGAGAAAAAGGAGAAATCGATAGGTTCAAAGGTATGAGTATAGCTATGTCTTCTGCTAATACATAAATACTGAACAATAATTTATCACTTATTATCTAGGGTAAATTAAATGCACATGAACAAAAAATTACATCTTACTAATGAAATCACTCCTTAAATAAAGAAATGTAACATGCTTCCTTACCACTGTCTGAAATGCCAACACCTTGAATTTCCCAAGTAGTGAGAGAATCAGGCAGCACAAATTGCAACTGGTTTCTGGAATTTAAAATGTTGAGATGATTCAACTACCTTGAAACATTAACCCAACTTGATAGAATTTTTTGCTTTATATTAGAAGAAAAGAAAAGAAAATGACAATATATAGTCCTATCAGATAGCAAGGGAACACTCATTAAGAAAAATACATTAAACTCTTACTTTTAAATATTACACATATAAGGGGAGCATTCAAGTGTCCAGGATACCTTTGTAACTTTGCAAAGTCAAAACATATAAAACAAAAAGTATGTTTAGGGGCTGGGAAGGTAGCTCAGTGGTAGAGCGCTTGCCTTGCATGCCTGAGACCCTGGGTTCGATTCCTCAGCACCACATAAGCAAAAAGAAAAAAGCCGGAAGTGGCGCTGTGGCTCAAGTGGTAGAGGGCTAACCTTGAGCTGAAGAGCTGAGGGACAGTGCCCAGGCCCAGAGTTCAGTGTGTTTATTGTGATTATGTTCTAAATAGGAAAGAAAAACTAATAATTATTTTTGTAATACTGAGGATTAAACCCAGGGCCTTATACTTTATAAACAAGCACTCTACTATTTGAGCTATGCCCTTAGTCCTGTTTTTGCTTTGTTTTGGAGATACCATCTTGTGCTAACTTTCCTTGGGCCACCTCAAACTTATGATCTGCACACCTCCACCTCCTAAATTGCTGAGCTTGTAGGCACCCACCATCATACTGAACTAATGTAATGCATCCTAATACTGTTCATAAAAATTTGATACAACTAAAAATGTCTAATTATGACCAAGCTTGTATATTTCTTTTCCTCTATGGCCACCAACTTTGTATCACATACAGACTTCAATCCCTGAACAGGATAGTAGGAGACAGGCAAATAAAGTGTATATTACTCCAGCAACTGTATCAACAAGGAATCAAAAGACCTCAGAGGTTGGGCACCAGTGGTTCACACCTGTAATCCTAGCTACCCAGGAGGCTGAGATCTGAGTATCTCAGTGCAAAGCCAACCAGAGTCCGTGAGATTATCTCCAATTGACCACCAAGAAAGCTGAAGTAGAGCTGTGACTCAAGTGTACCCAGGCTCTGAATTCAAGCCCTAGGACAGGCAAGAGGGGGGGGGCAGAGAGAGAGAGAGAGAGAGAGAGGGGCAGAGAGACAGAGACAGAGACATAGAGAGACAGATACACAGAGACAGACTGAGCCACAGACAGAGACAGAGAGAGACACAAAGAGTGAGAGAGTGAGAGATGGGGGGAGGGAGGAGGGAACAGTTCAAACCCAGTATCATGCATTTGATACATTTATTTTCATGCCTCTGCAAGCAATATCATAGCCCAATAAACTAACAGTATGATGAATTCTGTTTTTTACTTCAAGGCATTTTAATGAGAAAAGCAAACAAATATTGCTATTATCATACTATGAGATTCTTATAATATAGTTAATTGGGAGGGGTAATTAGTTCAATCACTGCTATTGACAGTACTGAAAAATTTTACCAAAAGTGCTAGAGAATGAACAATGTCAAACAAAAATGCAATTAGCCAGGCATTGGTGGCTCACACCTGTAATCCTAGCTACACAGGAGGCTGAGATCTGAGGATCCTGGTTCAAGCGAGGTGGTGGGGGAGGGGGGAGGCAACGTCCCTGGAGACGTTTATTTCCAATTAACCACTCAAAAACCAGAAGTGCATCTGTGGCTCAAAATGGTAGAGCACTAATCTTGAGCAAAAATGCTCAGGGACAGTGCCTAGGCCCCAAGTTCAAGCCCTACATCTGCAAAAAAAAAAAAAAAGCAAGCAAGCATCTGGCTGTATGCAGTAAAAGAAAGTGAAATGATTTTATCTTTCTCTTTTATCTTTACCAACAATTCATGTTACCCTGACACCAATAACCAGAGAAAAGGCTATTAAAAATATGAAGCAAAACAGAACAAAATTTAACTAAATAGTAGGATCATCTTAACTATGAAGAAATGAGTAGTGTCCAGACTTTTGGCCATGATATTTACATTTTCCATATTTTCTTTCCAAAAGAGCATCAAAGAAACATGATACCTCCGGGGAACACGATGAACTTCCCATAACCAGCTTTCTGGAAAATAGCTCCGAATTTCTGGCTTCGTTACTGGTAACAGGGTCTGTATGTCTGAGAAAAAAATTATGTGCAATTGTGGAAAAAGAGAAATCTGCTTATAGATAAATTTTAAAATGAGTGTTCATTTATAACTAAAGTACTTTCTAAAAGGCCACTAAAGCATTGTTAAGTGGTTTCAAAATAGAACTACGAAGGCCTTATGATTTCTCTCTATAATATAATAGCACTGAAAAAAAGACATGAAAACCTATAATGATTTTCCTTTTTTTTTTTTAAGTTAGCCTGGTACTGGTGGCTCATGCCTGTAATACTAGCTACTCAGGAAGTTGAGCTCTGAGGATTGTGGTTCAAAGCTAGCTCAAGCAGGAAAGTGCATGAGAATCTTATTTCCAATGAACCACTAGAAAACTCAAAGTGATGCTGTGGCTCAAAGTGGTAGCGCACTAGCCTTCAGCAAACAGAGCTCAGGAACAGCTTCCAGCCATATTACAAAAAAAAAACCCACAAAAATACTATTTTTATTATCTCTAAGCAGTTGTACAAAGGAGTTGCCATTCAACAAAACAGTTTATGAATACAGTGCATCTTAATCAATGTCACTCCTTTCAACATTGTCACCCAACCTCACTTTTCTTTTCTCCTCCCCTCCCCCTCCCCTTCCCCCTCCTCTTTCCTCCTCTTCCTTCCTTTTCCTCCTCCTCTACCTCCTCTGTCTTCCTCTTCTTCTTCCCCTTCTCCTCCTCCTCTCCCTTTCCCTCCTTCCCTTCCCCTTCCTCTCCTCCTCCTTCCTGTTCCTCCTCCCCTTCTTCTCCTCCTCTTTCCTGTTCCTCCTCCTCCTCCCTTCCCCTCTTTCTCTTTCCTGCTCCTCTTCCTCTCCTCCCCTTCTCCTTCCTGTTTCTCCTCCCCTCCCCTTCCCCTTCCCCTTCCTCCTCCTCCTCCCCTTCCTCCTCCTTTTGCTGGTCCTGGGGCTTGAACCCTGAGCCTGGCCTCTGTCCATGAATTTCTTTTGCTGAAGACTAGTATTCTACCACTTGAATCATACTGACTTTGTTTTTGTTTTTCCTGAGTAGTTTATTGGAGATCAGAATCTCACAGACTTTCCCGCCAGGGATGGCTTCAAACCACCATCCTCAGATCTCAGCCTCCTCAACAGTTAGGGTTGCAGGCCGCAGGCCCACCGCAAACCTCACTTCTTCTTTATTCCCTAATTTGGTAGGTTAGGTGTTGAGTGTGTGTTGGCCACTTCACCAAGCAGCTTGTGAATACAATGCATCTTGATCCCGTGTGTGTGTGTGTGTGTGTGTGTGTGTGTGTGTGTGTGTGTGTGACACAGGCAGATGTATGAAAGGGGTTTCAATTCAGCCTGCCAGTGTGTGAGGACATTTCCCCCCAGCTCCTCCCGGCCCTTCCATTTACCTGCGTCCATTTCTCTCTCTCTCTCTATCGCTCTCTCTCACACATGCACACGCACGCACCCCCCCACGTGCACGCACGCACCCCCCCACGTGCACGCACGCGCACGCACGCACGCATCCCTAGCACGGCGATCGCACGTGCCGAGCAGCCCCGCCCCCTGGAAGCGCCCGGCTTACGCAGTCGGCCCAGCTGCAAGCCCTTGTGGGAGCTCCTAGCGCGGATCTGGTTGGCGATGGTGCAGCACTCGTTGAATGCCCGGATGCAGTGCGGCCCCACCGTCACGCGCGCCACGCGCTGCTCACAGGTCTCGTAATCGTTGCGACGGGCGCCATCGTAACAACACTGCCGCGGCACTCGATGCCTGTATTTGGCAGCTGAAACGATGGCGGTTACAAGAACCCCGGATCAGGCCTGGGCATAACATCCCAGGTCCAAAAGGAGTCTCCGCGCAGGGCTGGGAGGTGTGGCTCACGTGGTGGAGCACCTGGTCCTGAGTTCAAATTCCCCCTTACTGCCAGGGGCGGGGGAGTAGCTCCCACTTCCAAATGATTCCTTTTCTCAGCAAAAGCCGTAGCTAGTCAACAAGACACTGCCCTCTCTTTGGAACTACCCCAGGAGGGCAAGTTCATGGCCTCACCAGGCCATCTAATTCACACTGAGTGGTTTAAGGATGTCCTCACTTTTGAAACTGATGCTCAGGGTTTAGCAGTCTCTGAGGAACATAGGTTAAATAGCCAAGTGGTTTTCTAATACTACACTGTAATGTCCTTCCCAAAGTATATTCTGCTTTTTCAAACATGTCTTCTGTGACATGTGGGGTAAACCTTACTGGCAGTATCATGCTTTATTATATGCTCAGATTTATCTGTGTCTCAGATATAGCTGTGTCTTGATTATCCTTGTGACATGAAGAACTACAATAATTCATATGTAAACATAAGAAATTATTACAATGCTATAAGCATGACTATTAGCTGAACTCAGGCCATTAACTCCCACATCAGTATTCCTCCTACTGTAAGATGGACAATGATCACGTTACCATAGAAAGAATTCCCATGTCTTATTTTCCAAAAAAATAATCTAAATTCTATTAACTGTTAAGTATATGAAATAGAAGAAATTAATTTCTTTCCTCCCTTCCCCATCTCGAGACTTCCCTCCCTTCCTTCCTCCCTCCTTCCTCCCTCCCTCCCTTCTTTCCTTCCTTCTTGTTTTGCCTCTCATTTGCTAGACAGTTGCCCTACCACATGAGACAAACTTCCAGTCCTCTTTGGTTTATTATTATTTTTATAGGTCTTCACTTGTTTGCCTGTGACTGGCCTTAGAACATGATCCTTCTACACATGGCTCCCTGTGTAGCTGAGCACATACATACATATACATATATATATATATATATATATATATATATATCACATATCACATCTGGCTTATTCATTGAAATGAGGGTGTTGAAAACTTTTTGCTCAGGCTGGCCTGGTATCTCATTGCTCCTGATCTCTTCACCTGCGTGGCCAAGTTTACAGGCGTGAGTCATTGTTCAGGCTTTATATGTTTAATGTCTATCTTAAGGGAAATTGTGTAATGCTTCATTTTCTACAGCTTTTGAAGGCAATGATCATGGTATTTTATAATTGTATGCAACTTAGAGTTATTACCTTGTTCTTCTATTTTCTGTTGCAATTCTCTTCTTGGCCTGAGAATTTCTTTACAAGTTTCATCTGTTATTTATTTTTTTAAAGGATAGAGAAGAAGACAAGAGGGGAAAAGGAAATGAAACCTTTAAAAAAATTCCATAAAACTAAATGTTTAAAATATTTTCAAGTCTACAACAAATGTCTACAACAAATCTGTAGACATTGTGCACAATGCCTCTTAATATGATTTCTTTTTTCAAATGGACCATGTGATCTCATAGCCCATAGCTTGATCATTTTATCTGAGGTTAGCTTTGAACCTTTCACCTTAGTGACCCAGTGATCTTAATTTTAAGCATTTAAAGTGAGCAAGTAGTAAATTACTCTTTTTGGTTGCTATTTAAACTATGTTGTTAACAAGTACAATACAAATACTCCCATCTCAAGCATAATGATGAATAATACTTAAATTGAAGGATGAAGGTGATTAAGATGTACTCTCTGCCCTTGAAGAGTTCACAATTGTCCAGAGTGAGCTTAACTAACCTTAAGAATGTACTCTAATTAGGGGAGGGGAAGGGAAAAAACAAAATGCTTAAATAAGGATACAGGTTGACCCATTTTAACAATGAGATGTACAAAACACTATGTTGAAAATGAATACAACTTCAGTGGGGGGGGGAGATAGCTGTGGAGGTGGGAAGGGATGGTAGGGGAAAACAAAGGAGGAGGCAACAATGCTCAATAGGAAATGTACTCATTACCTTGCTCATGCAACTGTAACCCCACTGTTCAGCATTTTTAGAATAAAAAACATACAAAAAGAATGTACTGTAATTGTATTACTTATGAGTAGATCTAGTCCCCATAAGATATACTCCCTATTAAAGGAAGAAGAAATAATCATCTCTCAATGGTGAAGACACCTCATAGAGCATGTGATTCATTCATTGAGTCAGTCATTTGAATGAATGAGTTACTGCTAGTTTGAGACTAACAATCCTCTTGCTTCAGGCCCCAGAGTCACTGGGATTACAGGTGTAAATTGATGCTCCTGAAAATGAGGTCATTATTTTGGTTTGTAATTATTCTAAGTTTGTAAAAGGAAAAGCAGCCCCTCAGAGTTAAGGCCAAAAGCCATAAAATAGCATTGTCCCATCCTTGGGAGCCAACCTTGAGTCTGAATCAATGAAACATAAAGTTAGGAAGACCAGAGTGAGGACTGATTTGAAAATGCTCAGGAGACCACGGAGGACTCAGGTTCTACACAAATCTGTGCTTTCTCCAAAAGAAACACATTACCATGGCATTCTGAGGTCAACATAGAGAATATTCTGGAAGAACAACAAACATGAAGGCTGGAAGGCAAGTGGCTTAAATGTCAATCATAGAAACACAGCATGTTTTACCGTGTTCTTGGGAGCTGTCCGTGTTGGCATTGGTGAGAAAGGTGAGCCCAGCTAGGTAGAATACATCAGCATTGTCACGGCCACCACCTGCCCCACAGCCTAGGTCACTCTTCTCCAAAGCTTGAAATACCTGTCCAGAAAAGCAACATGTGGGTCCTATCCAGGAATTAAAACATTTCTCTGAGGAACCAAAGCACCATGACATGACTATCACAAAATCTGAGAAATATATAGCACACTCACTCCTCTGTCAAATGAAGAGAGGCCAGATTGCTCAACTTCATTTTTTGTTGTTGTTGTTGTTGTTGTTGATTGTGGGGCTGGAACTTTCGGCCTGAGCTCTGTCCCTCAGCTCTTCAGCTCAAGGCTAGTGCTCTACCACTTGAGCCACAGCGCCACTTCCAGTTTTCTGGTTGTTTATTGGAGTTTCATGGATTTTCCTGCCCAGGCTGGCTTTGAACTGTGATCCTCAGATCTCAGCCTCCTATGTAGCTAGGATTACAGGTGTGAGCCACCAGTGCCCAGCTTCAACTTCATTTCTTTAGGTTGTCCCTTTGTGTTTATAATACTCACTTATTCAAAATTCAACCAAGAACCAAGTCCTTATCAAATAGCTTTCATTTCAGGAAGAGATTCTAAGAGATCAGCCCGTGGTTGGTGTTTTATACACACAGTACATGCTGTAGTCAATATGATGCTTACAATTTAAATATATAAAGAAATAAATGGATGAAAGCATGAAGAAAATAATTAACAAAAAATTTTTCCAACGCTGCTGGCCCATGCCTATAATCCTAGCTATGTAGGAGGCTGAGATTTGAGATTATCAGTTCAAAGCCAGCCTACACAGCAGTCTGTGAGACTCTTACTTATCTCCAATTAACCACCAGAAAACCAGAAGTGGCACTTTGTCTAAAAGTGGTAGAGTGCTAGCCTTGAGCAAAAAAGCTCAGGGACAGTACTTAAGCTCTGAGTGCAAGCCCCACAAATAACCAAAAGAAAAAAAATAAAACTAATTTTAAAGTGACTAAAGTTTTTTTTAAAAAAGATCATACACAAAAACGGACATGAAGACTAATAGAACAGAAGACCCAGAAATTAAACCATACAACTTTAGCCATCTAATTTTTGACAAAGGAGCCAAAAACACACTGGAGAAAAGACTAACTCTACAACAAATGACACTGTGAAAACTGGTATCTATATGCAAGACACTGAAATTAGACTTCATCTTTCTCCCTGCACAAAAATCAACTCCAAGTGGATTGAAGATCTTAATCTAAGTCCTGATACTGAAAAAACACTCCAGGAAAATGTAGGGAAAACTCTGAAGAGATAGACATAGGTCCCAATTTCTTAAATAGGACTTCAATTGCCCAGGAAATAATAGCAAGAATGAGCAAATAGAACTACATCAAGCTTAGAAGTTTCTGCACAGTGAAAGAAACAATCATTAGAACCAAAACAGCGAACCCATAGAATCTAGGGAACCCCCCACAGAATCGACCTGTTATTCAACATATAAAGGATTAATATCCATAATATACAAAGAGCCCAAAAAATTAAGAAACAAATTAATACATGAGCAGAGTTCTTAGAAGAAGGAATACAAAATATTAATAAATACATGAAGAAATGCTCAACATCTTAGCCCTAAAGGAAATGCAAATCAAAACTACACTAAGCTGGGCACTGGTAGCTCATGTCTGTAATCCTAGCTACTCAGGAGGCTGAAATTTGAGTTCAAAGCCATCCAGGGCAAGAAAGTCCTTGAGATTCTTAACTCCTACATCTAAAAGAAAAATATCTGCATAATCCATCTTTAGTGCAGCTCTGTTCACAACAGCCAAACTGTGTGATCAAAGTGTTCAACCACCAATGCAGCCAATGGATAGATAAACTATGTGTTATATAAATAAATAGATGATAGATAAATAATGGAATATAACATAGCCATAAAGAAAAACAAACAAGGATTGAGTTGTGCTTTAGGAAGGAATCGTCCTGGGGAAGATTATGAATATACAACTATATACTTATCAATGAATACATCATAGAGAATCAGGCCAAGTGTTGCCTTAACTCTTCCCCAACAACCAACCTGTCCTTTACGGAGGTACCACATTGACACTCTCTCTGCCCCACAGCAAGCATAGAAGAACACTACTTAACTCTTTGCATGGGCCTTTTGGCTCTTTCTTGGACTCTATACACAGCACTGTCCACTGCAGTCAATGCCACCCATGAGTCCGATTCCGTCTCCATTTTAAGATACACGCGTTGGCCTGGAGAATAAGCATCAGCATCTGGAGACAGATGAACCTGAAAGGTCATTTGAAACAAAGGAAGAGGACATTTGTAGGGGACACAGCTGTGCAGAAACAGCTGCTTTGCCAGCCTTCGTCTTGTGGACGACATCTTTGCAGTGATGTATTATTTGACTCACCTGCAGCTGGTTGCCACACTTTTCTTCGATGTTTAACCAGACTGAATCAGACACCAGTTCTGCTTTCTGCTCTCCAGTAACAATGTAATACACCAGGAGTCGGGCTGAAGGAACCATGTTCTGTGTTACCGGGATGTTTATACTTTGATAAGAAGAATCTGGAAGTTTCTCCCTGGTGCCAAAATGTACAATTTTGCCCTTGGATAAAATCTGAAAAGAAACAGCAAAAACCACCATAAGTACAAAACTAAGACCTGGGCTTGAGGATGGACTTAGAAGTGGAGCAAAAAGTACATTAAAGAGAAAGAGCCAGGCGCTGGTGGCTCATACCTGTAATCTTACCTACTCAGGAGGCCAAGATCTAGGGATTGTAGTCCAAAGCTATCTCAAGCAGAAAAGTCCTCATGAGAACTCTTATCTCCAATTAACCACTCAAAAACCAGAAGTGGCACTGTAGCTCAAGTGGTTGACCAGTAGCCTTGAGCACAAAAAGGTTGAGGGACAGCATCCAGGCCATGTTCAAGCCCCACAACCAACTAAAAAGAAAGGAAGGAAGGAAGGAAGGAAAGAAGGGAGGAAGGAAGGAAGGAAGGGAGGAAGGAAGGAAGGAAGGAGAGAGAAAGAAAGAAAGAAAGAAAGAAAGAAAGAAAGAAAGAAAGAAAGAAAGAAAGAAAGAAAGAAAACAAAAATAGCTAGTGCTGGTGCCTCATACTTGTAACCTTCTTTAGGAGGCTGAGATCTAAGGATTGCTGTTTGAAGCCAATCCCACCAGCAAACCCAAGAGAACCTTATTTCCAGTTAACCAGCAAAAAGCCAGAAGTGGGGGTGTGGCTTAAGTAGTAGAGCACTGGCCTTGAGTGAAAGAGCTATGAGACAATGCCCAGGCCCTGAGTTCAAGCCCGAGAGAGAGAGAGAGAGAGAGAGAGAGAGAGAGAGAGAGAGAGACAGATTTGACATGTCTATATGCTCCAACTGTGTGCTGTGAACTTTAATATTTTCAACTCCTTTAATTCTCGCAATACACCAATGTGATTGGAATATTTACGCCCATTGAAGAAATAGATCCAGTCACTAAATAGCATTCTGTATTTAGTTCAAAATCAAATCACTAGGAAATTAGTGAACTAAAATTTGAGCCTAGATTTTTAAAAAGTCATATACTGGTCCTAAAACCTCCTTTGTTTTGTTAACTAAAAAATTATGTGTGTGTGTATGTGTGTGTGTGTGTGTGATGCATATTATTTTGGGATTAAGTTTTAAAACCATGGATTGAATCCCAAGTTAAATGTTTAAAGTAAAAAATTTAGAAAGCATAAAATGAAATACCTTCCAAAGTCCCTGAAATTGTTCTTAACGAGCAGACTGTATACATAACTTGGCTTGCGGTCCACGAATGGTTTCTCTATGGCCCCACTAGTCCGCATTTATTTTTGAATTCCTGCCTCAGAAGCCTGGGGAAAGATCTCATCAGCGCCTGTTGACATGGCCTTTGGCATGGTTCTCTCTCAAGAAGCCCCTGATGCTTTCTATACCTTCTTTCCAAGGCTTTGCCAACAGGCGTAAAGGAGTCACCTCCTGTGTGATGTTTAGTGATGGGAGGGGAATGTCGCTGGCTGTGCAACTGGAGCAGGTGTGATGTGATTCAATTCCCAGCAGCAGGACTTGCATCTCCCTGTTTTAGACCAATGTACTTGAAGTAGGGATAGACATGTAATCCTTGGCCATGAAATAAGAGCTAAGGTGATGTCATCAGGCCCTAATTAGCCCAATTAGGCTCCATTTAGTAGAAGGAGTTAACACATCAGAAATCAGAGGTCCTGGCTCAAAGCAAAATCTTCTTCTGAGCTGAGTGACCATATTGATGTTGGAAACTCTTTGTCCCGTAATTATCCCATCTGTGAAATGGTTGTGCCAATCATATTCTATCTTAAAGGTTTTTGAAAAGCTGAAACTCAAATTAGATAATTTCTTGAGACCACTCTAAAATATACACATAATCACTCTAATGCTTTTTATTTTTTTGTCAGTCATGGGGCTCGAACTTAGGGCCTGAGTGCTGTCCCTAAGCTATTTTTGCTCAAAGCTAGTGTTCTATCCCTTTGAGCCACAGCACTACTTCCAGTTTCTAGGTGGTTAACTGGGCATAAGAGTCTCATGGACTTTCTTGTCCTGGCTGCCTTCAAATATGGTCCTCAGATCTCAGCCTCCTGAGTACCTAGGATTACAGTCATGAGCTACTTGGAAATTGTTCCAGCTTTGGGGTGGGTAGACATATATTTACAATTATTGTACTTACCAAGTAATTATAGTGAGTTATTTTGTCAATGTATGGACTCTTGGGTGTTACAATGATATTCAGATATTCTCCAACAAGTGAAGGTTTATAGTTCTCAATCCAATCAATATAAAGGTAACTGTGGCTGAGAGATGAATATGAAATTGCTTGGTAATCTTTGCTAGCTTGGTTTTCTTCGAGGAGGTCTGGGGCATCAGTTTTGACCTGAAAAAGAGAATTTCAAAAACACATGTGAACTGGGAGAAATGCTTTTCTGTAAAATGTGTTTTTTAAATTCTTGGCTTTCTACATTTCTAAAATTCACAATGCCAAATGTAAAAGGAGGCTAAAAGCCCCATTGCTCCAGTGTTTGTACAGCTGTGGTATCAAGTTCCTTTATAGAGACTATGGAGAATGATGAAGAGGTTCAGGGTGATGTGCAGGGGTCTGATGAAGTGAAGAGAGAAGATGTTTGCTCCCTTTCTGCACCAGTATTAAGTTAAGGAGCTTCTCTTTCTAAAGGATGAGATGACAGGAATTGATGGTAGGAGAAAAGAAGTGGCAAGGAAGTAGACCTAATTCTTGAGGACTAGGGACAGAAGTTACGAATGACTATTACAGAGACAGGCTAGCTTCATTTCATTGTGAAATAATCAACACAAAGGATTGCTTATAAAACCAGGCTGATAGCCAGGCACCAGTGGCTCACGCCTGAAATCCTAGCTACTCAGGAGGCTGAGATCTGAGGAGCTTGGTTCAAAGCCAGCCTGGGCAGGAAAAGCCATGAGACTCTTATCTCCAATGAACCACCAGAAAACTGGAAGTGGTGCTGTGCCTCAAGTGGTAGAGCACTAGCCTTGAGCTGAAGAGCTCAGAGACAGCGCCCAGGCCTAGAGTTCAAGTCTAACAACCAGTGCATACACACACACACACACACACACACACACACACACACACATTTGTTTCTATCAAGAGAGAAAAAAGGA